GAGATTGGCATAAAGGAAGAAGAAGGGAGAACATTGAGAGAGAAAGAGGGGGAGGAGGAAGGCAGATGGGGAATTGGGGAGAAGTCGAGGACAAAGGGATGGAGAGATTATCCCCAACTGCAAATTCCATGCAGTATAGTCCAAGCACTGGGCAGAATTTCATGACCAGGTACAATCATGCAAAATGGAGCGTGAACAACACTAATTTCAGACTGCACATGTAATTTCTTTCAGTTATCCAGCACTCATCCCCCCCCTCCATCTCCACACGTAATTTCTTTCACTTATCGAGCACTTATTCCCCAGTCCATCTCCCATCTCTTTTCTTGTTGAATTTGAGGTTTGTGTGCATCATCCTTGCATAGTAGCTAGGTCCCTAATCAAATCGCCCCGAAAAACCACAAGCTGTAAGGACCAACACTCGTCGTTTACGGGAAGTCAAAAATGGAATCTATCATTAACCGTCAATCTTTTCCAATACTTTCATCTCAGAGATCCAGCATTGACTACACGGGCTCATCAAACAGTGCTAAAAGCTTTGGCTCATCAAACAGTGCTAAAAGCTTTTGGCTCATCAAACAGTGCGAAAAGCTTTGGCTCATCAAACAGTGCTAAAAGCTTTCGCTCATAGAACAGTGCTAAAAGCTTTGACTATCACGCTAAATTGACTGTTTGGGATTTTTCCCAAACTGTTTGGTTGTTACGGATCTGGCCAGGGCTCGATCCCTTGGACATTTTTACCGGTACCCTTTCTGGTACCAACGGATCGCGTGCATACCCCTGAGCCCAGCCTAGCCGTTAGGCTGTTCCCAGGTATATGAACCGGTCTCAGACACTGGTCACACATCTAGTGCTGTACTCCGTTTCGGACATTGGAGTGTGAGTTTGACATTGAGTTGATGCTGGTACTCTTTTCTGACCGTACCAGTCCGCTTCTGCGTCGGAGTCTCATCGTGATTGTGTGTGTGTGTGCGTTCACTTCCTCTCACCTTCCTGTCTCCTCCTCGAACCCAGTGCTTGTTACATTGGTAGATTCCCATGTGGAAACATTCGCCTGGCATGTGTTGAAGAAGGCTGTTTGTGAAAACGGCTGGAGATATCAGAAGTGAGAATGCTGCCATGAGTAACAGAATATCGGGTGAAAAACATGATCGCAAGTTCGCTATCCTTTTTTTTTTCCTTTTTCTAATGATAGCGCCGAAAGTATCCTGATGTTCCTTCCCTGTATGGTTTCCGCACACGGTGAACGAGATCATGAGCATTCAGAGTTTGAATTCCCATTTTTTCTTCTGTGTAAGACTGTAACTACAATTACTAGTTCTTTTGCACAGCATGCAAAATGCGTGCAGGTATGGCCACTTGTCCTCCACCAAACATGCCACCACAATTCCTCACTCATCACTGAAACACCTCGTATCGTCATGAACAACTCAAAAGCGTGAGGCAAAACCACCGATTTTCACAGCTAAAAATGGATTGTCAGGACTGGAAGTGTGTGTCTCATCCATCTTGCGACCACACTCCCAGATGGAGTTCATCCGTCATGCCCCCGGATCCTTCTCACCCAAGCTCCTTACTACCTTGGTTTCATGGCTTCAGAAAACGCCAATCAAAAAAGGATGAATACTGAATATTTACTCCATTGCTTTTCTGATACTGATGGTTCAACTGCCTTCTCCTTGGACTTGGGAAACCACCACTCTCTCTCTCTCTCTCTCTCTCTCTCTCTCTCTCTCTCTCTCTCTCTCTCTCTCTCTCTCTCTCTCTCCATTGCTTTTCTGATACTGTTGGTTCAACGGCCTTCTCCTTGGACTTGGGAAACCACCACTCTCTCTCTCTCTCTCTCTCTCTCTCTCTCTCTCTCTCTCTCTCTCTCTCTCTCTCTCTCTCTCTNCTCTCTCTCTCCGTGTGTGTGTGTGTGTGTGGCTGTGGCTGTAAGAATTGGCCTCGATAACCCTGTCAGCTGTGGCTTCTGTATATATAACCAGGGAACAAGATGCGAACATGTAAACAAGTTAAGAGCTCTGTGTCTCTACCTGGCTAAGCAGCAGCGCTGTCTGCTGATCCGTCAGTATTCACAAGAAAGTCATGATAATGAGATGAGACACACGACCAGGCATTGAGACACTACTATTCTTAGGGCATACTCACACTAGCACTTTCCTGGACGTATCTGACTGCAATTCTGGCCCGTCCTGCATGTATGTGATGGCAATTACGTCCACAGAGGACTCGAAAAAGTCCTAGTGTGAGCACACCCTCATTTCTGCTCGGTGACAAAGCGGACACATAGATGATCTGCGAAACGATTCCATTGTATGTACATAAATACTTACTACCTTCTCTTTTTATTTTCCGTCCCCCTGCCGCCTGTTAGCGTGTCTGGACAACTACCTACCTCGCACCAGGGGCGAATCCATTGCTGCTCCTGCCCTCACATGCAACAGGTGGGCGAATATGCCCCCCAGCCCTCCCTCCACAAGTCAGGCATTATAATATCTATCACGTAGCGCTCACACTCCCCGCAGGCATACACCAGAACAAAATTGGCAGCCTCCGACTGCCTGAAAAAACACAGCGTTAACTTGCTGGAACCGCAGATGGCGCCTGCTGCTGCTGCTGCTGCATCAGCTTTAACTAGCTGGAACTGCAGATGGCGCCTGCTGCTGCTGCTGCACCAGTGCTCCCCAGTTGATACTCTTCAACATTGCAACTCTGTCAGCAAGAGGCACTAAAATGCCACCCTCGTTAGCAACGGCACCTGTCCCCTCGGCCTTTTGAAGCATGGCCAGTATCTGTCCAACGTCAGGTCCTTGCATCGATCCTGTCAAAGCCAAGCGTATGGGCATGAACAGCCTCTTTCCCTTGCGGCTCAGCTTTTTGCCGACCCCTTTCACCCAAGTCTTCCAAGTGCTTTCACCCCCCGCAATGGCATTGGCCAGGTCCCCATCGTCAAAGGCACTCAAGATGGCGGCCACAACCTCGGGGAATCCGTCTGCCAAGATAGCAGCTGCCTCCTCGCTTGCAATCGTTTGGTGCAGAGGATAAGCGAGGAGATCGAGCAGATTCGCTTCGCAATCGCTGACGAGAGTGATTCCCTCCTTAATTAGCTCCACTGCGTCATCGACGAACGGTCCATCCGACCTGGTCAGGATGCCGGCCTGAACCCACCTCTCCCCGAGCATCCGCCGAAGCTCATTTGTCGCGCAGCTGCGCAAATGCTGACCGTTCATCCACCCCAGCTTGGTGGCGTCGAAAATGGCGGCGCTCTTGGTGACCCGGTCGATGGAGAACTTCTCGACAAGCTCCTCCACGGTGAAGATCTCGTCCACTGTGCCGTCGTTCCACCCCAGCAGGGCCAGGTAGTTCAACATAGCCTCCGCAAGAAAACCCTTTTCTCTGAACTCCCCCACCGATGTGGCACCGTGCCTCTTTGACAACTTGCTCCGATCCGGTGCCAAGATGAGCGACACGTGGCCAAACTGAGGGGGCTTAAACCCCAATGCCTCATAGATGAGCACCTGGCGGAGGGTGTTGGGTAGGTGTTCTTCGGCTCGGATGACGTGGGAGATCTTCATGGATGCATCGTCGACGGCCACGCAAAAGTTGTACACCGGCTGCTTGTTGCTTCGCAAAATAATGAAGTCCCCTAGTGTGTCCGTGGACCACGAGACCTCTTCGCGAATAAGGTCGTTGATGGCCACACGGCTATGCTTCGGTACCCGGAAACGGTATGTGTAAGGGCTGCCCTTTGCTAGCTCCGCTTCCACTTCCTCTTGCGTTGCCGTCGCCCATCTTCCACTGTATACAGGGGGAAGCTTCTTTGCCTCTGCCTCTTTCCGCATGGCCTCCAGTTCCTCATCCGTGCAGAAGCAATAGTACGCATGGCCCGATGCCACCAGTCTTTCTGCGAACTCCCGGTAGATATCTGTCCGCTCAGACTGTCGGTACGGCCCATAGCCGCCGCCGCAATCTGGCCCTTCATCCCAATCAAGCCCCAGCCATTTCAAGTCGCGAATCATCGCCTCCTCCGACGCCCTGGTAGACCGTTCCAGGTCCGTATCTTCCACGCGAATAATGAACTTGCCCTTTTGATTTCGCGCGAACAACCAGTTGAAAAGCGCAGTCCTCGCGCCGCCGACATGCAGGTTTCCCGTCGGCGATGGCGCGAAACGAACTCGCACTGCTCCAGCCTCAGCAGATGAGGAGGAGGAGGAGTAGGTGTCCTCGGCGGTGGTCGCAGCTGCCGCATGAATGGCGACCACGTAGCATCTCTCTGCAAGCCTGTCTCCAAGCCAGCGCGCTGATCGCTTATTACTAGTGGAGAGCCAGCTTCTTTGCTGCTGCAGCCTGTCAGGAAGAGCGCGCCGCCCTATCGGCCCCGGCCACACGAAGCCCGCCTCCTCTCTTTCCGTCAAGATGCAGCTCGTACGACTTGCCACGGGGCACGCGAAGCGTACCCCTAGCCCACCACTTCCCGATCGCTGCAAAGCTCCCTCTCCCGCGGCGCCAATCCCCGCGATCGGTCCCAATCTTGGCCTGGAAACCTGCCGCACATGCGTGCCCGTATCCTTCCCCGCCTCCACGTTAGTTCTCGGAGCCACGTGGCAGCATCTGCTCAGTCGAGAGGGGCATGATCTTGCCACGTGCAGCAAGGTCAGCCGACCGGTCATAGGAAGAGGCCCGGCGCGAAGGGCCATCGTGCTGGCATCCGTCAGTTATCGCCGACAGCCAAACTTGAAAATGCTTAAGTGGCAGATTGAAGAGATTTTCTTTTCCCTGAATTGATGGGAGTGCTGGGATTCGCCTCAGCCGTGAAGGTTACCATCTGATTGAAGAGATTTTCTTTTCCCTGAATCGATGGGAGTGTTGGGATTCGCCTCAGCCGTGAAGGTTACCATCTTCATGGTCTCCACGTGAGGAAGGGCTAAATTAAACCACCAGTTTTACGCTCCGAGCCTCTTTTTTCGTACGCTGTGATCTCGCGCGCGCCAAGCCTAACCAAACGCCTGGGCGGCGGAAAAGGGAAAACGCTATCCCACAGCAGCACAAATTCGGGGGTCTCGCCCCACATGCGCTGTGTGGTTTAGTTTTCTATAACTGTGTGACGCGGGAAACGAACGTTGAATCATCCTCTTATTTGACTTCATTCATCTAGTCGGGCAGGATTCGAACTCAGGTGTTCCTTTCAACAGTTCATGGGTGTACCACGTCCTCTGCCTCCTATTGGACAGACCAAATCCTTGGGAACCTCTATGTGTCTGTGACAAAGAAAACTAGGGTTGGACCCCATTGGCCGGCGGCTGGAAAAGTTTTGGAGTGGAAGGGCGATTTTGGACCCCACTGAGCCGCCAGGAATTTTTTTGGGGGAATGCGAACGTCCTTTTCAGACTCCACTGCCATTCTGGAAACACTGTTGGCCATGTTTCTACATGGCTGGCGGATGGAAACTCTCCGCCAGAAACTGGCGGTCCTTTTCCAAAAAGTCCTCCAGCAGGGTAGGGAGTGCAAAGTGCCAACCGTTGGCAATGGAGGCCGGCGAGGTGTGGTAAAATAAACGGGCGTCGCGGACAAACATTTGGTCCAGACCGAAACTGCACGAACAAAGTGCGTGTCGCATGACTCATCGAAACTGGCTGCTGGTCCATGCAGGCAGTCCGTACTTTCCTTTTCGGGGGGTGCCCCTCTCGGGTTTCCTAATGCGGCGAGCATGGCCGTCTCCAAAACCCCGCCAGAAATCAGCAGTGTGGTCGCATCTAAACGTGCCAATTCCTTTCCACCAATGTTGGCCAGAAACCGGTGGCCGAGTACCTTTTCCAGCTGCCGCCCAGTGGGGGCCAAGCCTTACCTTCCCCGTGCATTCACTGAAGAGGAGAATCCCATGTCGTTTGCTACCCCCCAAAAAAATTGTAGCATAATACAACGCCCATGCCTCTCCCCCCCTTCCTAACATGACCCCAACATGATGCTCCAACCAATCACAAAACGGTAGTGGGACGAACCACTTTCTGTTCCGCGCGATTTCCTCCGCGATGCCAATGAGGGGTCCTAAGATGGGAAGGTTGGGCCAATTTCGGGCGATTGGGATTAACGGAGGAATTGCATCAGTGTCCTCACTTCTTGATCGTTTTGCGACGCTTCTTTTCGGATGGCTGGGTTCGGTCGCAGTGTCGTAGGGGACCATGGGATGTATTGTTGGCGCACCCGGCCAGAGCGGCGAGGGACGATGCGACCGCGTACTGTCTCGATGGCTCGCGGGATTATTTATGCATCGTCCTAAGTTGTCTCTGATTTTGTTTTGTTTACCTCCTGCGTGACATGGCCGGGAGGGCCCTCGTTTTCACGCGAGGGCTGATGCGCTCGACAACGGGCGAGTCCAGGGATGGTCGGTTGAGTGGTCGATCGAATGGTTGGCGCGCCGCCATGCGCGTGATTAATAAATGTTGACGTCGTTTCTTTCTGTTTCTGCTGTCGAATTTTAGGCGCGGAGGTCGCGCAGGAAGTTTTGCTTCTTCTTTTTGAAATTCTTTTTCGAATATAGTCGACCCTCGAAATTTCGGACTTTCTTTTCGGAATTTGTGTTTTATTAAAGTTCTTTTTGCACTAGCTAGGAATTTAGGATTTATTTTGTCGCACGCTGCCTTATTACTTGCGCGCTTCTTTTTGCGGTTGTGGCGGAGCTCTGATTAATAGGCGCCTTTAATCTTGCGTGTAACTGTAATCTTTGGGCGGACACCATTGTAACTGGATCTTCCTTCTTGAGCTTCGTCTTTCCCGCCCACTCTTTCTCTTCTTGCCAAGTTCGGGTAGCCCGCGGACTGCATGTTCGGATCGATGCGTGGAGAGTGGCTACGTCCCCCACGCCGCGATCTGGTCATGCAGAACGTAGGCGTTCCCTCCCCTTATCTCCTTTCTAAGTCTTTGTAATTCCGTATTCTTCGCGCATGCATGCACGCTATAAATTCCGGCTGCACGATTAGATAGCTCTCTTAACCAGTTGTTGGAAGCTCGGGGAGCGCGATAAGTGAGGGTCGGCTCACGAGCGAAGTAAGAGGTAAGTTGAAGTGGGAGTCGGGCGACCCGACGAGCTGGTGCCAAATGCGCGGGGTTGACGCGTGGGGCTACGACGGACTGTAGTGCACGGGCGAACTTGACGGGTGCAGGAGGACTAAGCGGGGTGACGACTTCGTGGGTTGGTGCGTGACGACGGACTGTCCGCATCGGGGAGAGAGAAAGAGAGAAACAGAGAGTCGAGGTTGATGGACGCGGGTTTGCACTTTCATTGTCGTTCTTTTCTCATCTTTGTACATAAGTTTTGATCTCGGCTTCCAGCGATTCGCCGATTTTTGCTTTCGGAATCTTTGTCTCACTCGCACCTGTTTTTACGATTGATCTTGATCTCTTCTACTGCGTGTCTTGTCGAATG